ATCATTAAAATTTTGCCATCTAGAGTTATTTATAATTAATTTTTACTAAATTATTTTTTTGTTGTTGCTTATAGTTTATCTTAATTTTCATTGTAAAAAATGATGGTTTTCATTGTTCAAATTCTGTTTAGGATTCTTTTCAGACAATTTAATAAGTCTAATTTCTAGTTCGTATTTGGAAAGTTTTGAATGAAAGCACTGAAACTATCACAAATCCATGATAAAATGTGGGAAGTATATTCTGAAGATTCTGCACCATTAATAATTCATGCAATCGTCAAACAAGGATAAATGAGTTTATGCAATGAGTGGAAAACTGGCCAGAAGTACAGAAGATTAAAGAAAACATTTTAGCCTATGATTGGAAACTTTTGCCACATCTATCCTAGTGAGCGTATTCAAAATCTCAGCGTGCAGCCAGCACCTCTGTTCAAAATCTCAAATTGCTTCCAGCAAACTGTAAGAGTCTTTTTTTGGTGCTGGATAAGCTAGCAAACAAGATGGCAGCCACCATAAGGTTCTTAAGAGCTCTATTTTGCATTGACAATTTTAAATTTAATTTATTTGTCAATGAATAAACCCCAAATAAATTAATATTCAGTTAGTATGTTAACAGAATATTTGGTTAGTACATTAATAGAATATTTTAATATACTAGTATTTTTACCTAAAACATCACATAACTTTTTTTAGTTGTTAAAGTGTAATCTTAGGATTGATTTAATTATTTAAAACTCCTATGAAAATTTAAAATATCTTTATCTCTATTTCTCTTTTCTAAATTTTTATTTTTCATTAATTTGTTCTACTTAAAGAAGTTAAAAATCATTTAACGTAAACATGGAAGTCCACACCATTTGCCATTTTTATTGTTTTTCTTTCCCAAAATTCCTGGCAGTCAGCATTTGTGTTTTCTAGAAAAAACGCCAGCAGGTGCATCACTTCCAGCAGCATCTTGCTGGATTGATGCTGAGATTTTGAATATGCCCATTACTATTGCTATGGCCTAGTGATAATGACTGTTAGTCACTAGCACAGTTTGACCCAAAGAAAAAAAGGTTTCTCAGAGAAAAGAGGTTTCAAGCAGATAAACAACTGAAATCCAGGATTAAACTCTCGAAAAACAGACTTTTGGGAAACGTATTTTCAACCTTATGAAATACTGAAATAAGTGCATAAATATTTATGGTTCTTACATAGAAAAATAAGTCTATACTTATATTTCATTTTGTACACTCATTATGAGTAAACTGCATTATCTGAAAAATTAAAAAAAGGCATTACATTTCAAATACCTTTGTATATTTACACATTTAATATTTATCCATACTAACATAAAATATAAGTTAGTTTATGGAACTAAAATAAATAGATAGATTTATTATATATTGCAAATAAATAACAATACTTTGATCATCATCAAAAAAGACCCATTAGATTACTGAACATAAATCTAATTAAATCTATTTAATTTCAGTCATAGGAATTGATTGATAATTTCATATATAAAATGCAGCATGATTTTTTGAAATCATGCTGCATTTCAGAAACTTATTATGTTGAATAGTATTTGAATCTTTAGATAAGACAGATTATAAGATATACCTTTTTGGAAAAACAGTTTTTATACATCATAAAATAAGCAATTATAAAAATTAAAACTAACTTCAAATATTGTTAAGATTAACTTTTTATAAATGTTGCATTGCATTAAATGTAATTTTCTTAATGTCTAATTATGAATATAATTTTGCCACGATACATAATTCTTTACACATAACATATTGTAAAACTTTAATTTTGTCAATGTTATAATTCAACTTTACAAATTAACTTTATGTAATTACTAGCTGTTACCCGCGACTTCGTCAGCGGAGGTTTTGCAAGCAAACCCCATTTACATCCAATATTTCAATAACCATAGTAATTGTTATATAACACCTACCGCTGAAGAGAATTGCCGAAAATCAAACGAACTATTTTCAATTTGATCAATTTTCTGAAACGTTTACAATCGTTCTATAATCGAACCAATACGCAATAACAAATTCGAATTTAAAAC